TAAGGAGAAAGCCAGGGATGCTAAAATGCCTTTCTTACGTGTTACATTTAAGAAGAGTTCGGACTTCTTCTGAGGCATGGCTTTAGGGAAAGGCGCGTAGCCGTTGCATGGGGAACAAGCTCGTTTGACTACTCTTTCAGAAATGGTAGTCAAAAAGGAAGAGAGAAAGACTTTCTTTAAAGTCAGTTTGTGATGAATAATTGGGCTCATGGTTCCTATTTCACTCTCATAAAAGATTGACTTTTACGTCCTTTGGCGTCTCTGCAGGCAATATTGGTAGGACATACACAGAACAGTGTGTGGGGATTCTGACGGAGCTCCTGGGACTGCAGCAGGAACATATCACTTCAGGTAATCATCGGACTGTTTGCCTGGCTTATGCTCTCAGGAAGTGGCCTTGCTGGGGCTTGTGAAAGGGGGAGCTCTGAAAGGCACTTGGCGTTGAATTTAACTGGCCTTTTCAGGTGGAAGCCTTCCTGGTGGAGCATGGGTATATAGTGTGACTGGGCGTTGTAGTTTTTCCTTTCTTAGGAACTACGCTTTGTGGTGAAGGGGGAGATGGTCATAGCTGTGTTCACGGTGTGATGTGGAGGCTCCTTTCTGGCTGCTGCCTGCTGACTTAGGGATGAGGGACTCGGCAGAGACATTTTAGTGATTGTGTGAGAGCCGAGATGATTAACAGGTCTTTTAAATCTTTGTGATTTCTGTTCCTCATATAATGGTCTGATTCAGCTGTACCCAGGCTTCTCTTTGTTCTTCTGCTGCCCTCAGGTCTAACTTCTTATCATTGCTGGTTTAAAGGGTCTTGCTTTCCGTTTTGGAAATCACACTTGCACTCAGCTGTTGAATTAGTGGGCAGCAGAGCCTTGAAAATTTTGACCTAAAGTTCCTGAGACTCATTTTGAATTGGTGTTAGTTTTGATTTGTCATCCTAACCTTGTGTGTCTGAAGCATCGTGAGTCAGTGTCTTTTTAAAGGCTGGGGAATGTCCAGAAGAGAGTTTACTTTCCAGCAGCCAGAGGAACAATCCGAGTTTCAGTGCTTTATTTTAAACTCGGTGTAACTTTGCTCTGACAAACACAGTGTCATGGGACGTTGAAGAAGGGTGTCTCAAATCATAGTCACAAGCACTGACCTCCCTAGCTAAGATGTGCAAAATCTCCCCAGTGGGTTTTTTTGGATTATTTTTTTTTTACCCCATCGTGGTTTTGTCACTGCTGGGGAACACTGAGCATTTTGTTTCCTTGCAGCGGTGGTACAGGCTTTTCGGGACCTGGTTTGGCTGTGTCCCCAGTGCACGGATGCCGTGTGTCGGGCACTGCCCAGCTGCGAGGATGCCATCCAGGACAGTGAGGTAAGGCAGCTCTGTGCCTGGGGCTGGCAGCTGCTGAGGATGGGTGGACAGTGACCATTTGGCTTTCCTTTGGCTCGTGATGGATGGGCAAATATCAGAAATCTTCAGAAGACTTGTTCTCTCGTCTCTCATGTCAGCACTCTTTCTGGGAAACAGCGGCTATTTGCTGTTTTTTCTGTGGTTCATTCAGGGCAAGCAAGCGCTGATCTGGCTCCTGGGCACACATGGTGAGAAAGTACCCAATGCCCCCTATGTTTTAGAGGACTTTGTGGAGAACGTGAAATCGGAGACGTTCCCAGCAGTGAAGATGGAGCTTCTGACAGCACTGGTGCGACTTTTCCTGTCCCGTCCTGCGGAGTGTCAGGACATGCTAGGGAGACTGCTTCATTACTGCATAGGTGGGTTCCCTTCATTAGGTTTCCCTGAAGCTGTACAGGCCTTTTGGGAGCTGGTTTTGCTGTGTCCCAGTGCACGGGTGCCGTGTGTCAGCCTCTGAGCTGTGAGGAGACCATCCAGGGTGGCAAGGTGAGGTGGCTTAGTGCCTTAGGCTGCTGCTTGGCCCTTCACTGTCTGGTTGATGAATGTAACAGGCTTATACTGTATCTCTGGGATTCTGTTTTTAGTAATTAAGGGATAGTACTTTGGGAAAATCCGGATGATAGAATTCACCATAAATCATGTCCCTCTATTTCCCAGAGGAGGAGATGGATATGGCAGTACGAGACCGTGGATTGTTCTACTATCGCCTTTTGCAGTCTGGTGTGGGAGAAGTGCAACGGGTCCTGTGTAGCCCCAAGTCTGACCCCTCTCTGGGGCTCTTGGAAGACCAAGCTGAGCGCCCCGTGAACACATGGGCTGCAGAGTTTAATACTCTGGCACTAGTTTATGGCAGAGAGCGCTGGGCACTCGTCACTGCTCACCAGCTAGCAGAACCTTCTTACACTTGTTCTCCTTGCACTGACTCCAGGAACAGAGACACAGGTAACCTGCCTCACCTTCGTCTGGGATCCCTTTCCCCTTGTCAGTAGATGTTCTCATGTGGGTTTCTTTGGAAGAAGATCATAGGGCCTTGAGAGTGCTGTCTTAGTGTTCTGACTATTTTGTGCAATGCATGGTTGATCACCACTGAAGGCACTGTGATTCCAGCCCTCTTCATCTGATGACTCCATAAGGTGTTTGTGAAATTGGGAGCTGCATCTCACATGTTTGTCGTTTCATTTCAGAGTCACTGATTTCTGAAGGAAATAAAGAAGTCCTCAAGGTTCACCCTGATACAGGCAGCCTGACCTTAATTCCTGACGTTTACCTGACTGCAGAACAGTTTGAGAAGACCTGGCTGAGCCTGGACACGAGCTGCCACCTCTCTCTGCCCTGGTGTGGGACTGTTCATCCGGATACCGTACAGACGGCTCTTCATGTTGTCCACATCCAGACGGTTGCTATGAGCAAAGCTGGTGTCCAGCCGTGGAAAGCTTATCTCAGTGCTCAGGATGACACCGGTTGCCTCTTCCTAACGGAGCTGCTGCTTGAGGCGGCAGACTCGGAGGTGCAGGTGTCAGTGAAGCAGAGCGAGGCAAAGCCAGAGGCACTGCAAGCCTTTATTTCGGTGTTAAGGACGGTCATGGGGGCGGTTGCTGGACTGGGGTCCTGATTTTTCTCTGCTTCCAGTAGAACGCTTGCTCAGGGCACAGGAAAAGTTTCTTCCTCTGGCTTCGTTTGCTACACTTGATGCTGGTTTTGTACTTTTACCCTGTGGGAGCGTCGGCAGCCCTTTGCCGGAGCGGCGCTGGGCCCGGCACGTGCGTGTGGTATGGGGGCAGCTGCAGCTGGTGGGAGGGGATGTCTTTTGGAGAGGTTTTTTCATGAGAATTGTGAATAATTCAAAAAACAGTTCAGAGGCTCCAGCACTCTGCTGCTTATCTCACATACAGAGCAGCACTGCAGTGCAGAGAGAAGTGTTCAGTTCCTGGCTCCCTTTGTGTGCCGTTCAGTTTGCTGTGCGACAGATGCATCTCGACAGCAGCTGCACTCGAGGGGCGCGCGGCGCTGTGTCACAGCGGGTGACGGGGTACCTGGTGCTCGCTGGGAACGGTACGTTTCTTTTTCAAGGGAAAGAAGTGTATTTTCTAGGTGTGTGACTGTAATCCTGAATCGCGAAGTTCCCCCTCGGGGTTCCTGTGGGAGCACGCAGGAGTGTGCAGGGCGCGTGTGATGCGTTCGCGCGCGGGAACGGGGTGTGAGTTCCGTATCCCGCGTGGCGTTGGCCGGGCCGGTGCCGTCGGCCCTCGGTGCCCGCACCGGTAATGGCAGAATTGCTGTTTCGATAATCAGCCTGCACAGAATGTTGGATTTTTGCTGATACCGATGTTTAGCATTGATTGCTTTTAACTAAAATGGGTGTTTAAGGGTTTGTGTTCTGTGTGGCGCTTGTTTCTGTGCAGAACTGTTGTCCTGCCCTCCCAGGATGGCACACGAGACGCTGCAGTGCTATGGGGCTAAAGTTTCACAGTTTTACACGTTGTGCCCTGGCCAGCCTCAGGACTTGTGTTTTGAAGAGCGCGTTGACAGCACTCCCTGTGCCCTGCTGGGTGGGACTTTGCGGTGTCACAAGTGTCCGTGTCGCAGCCGTGCTTTACACAGCGACAAAACCCCGAAGAAGGCTCCTTGGTGTCAGGTGGAGGTACACAGGTTACTAAGCAGGGAAGGAGTAGCTTTGTCAACCCTATTCTGTAAGATTTCTTGTAATTTTTGATTTCTTTTAATGGCTTTATTGTACCTCTAAATTGAAATATGCCTCCCACGCGCTTCACTGAAACACTGCTGTCACTGTGAAACAACAGGTTTTAGATTTTATTTCTGATTTTCCTAATAAAAATGTGAATCATTCCTGACTGTCTTCTGGAGTACTTGTTTGTTCAGCTCTGAAGTCTGCGGGATGGAGGCATCTGATTACTGCCGTGGATCCCGAGAGCGCTGCAGTCCATTCCTGCCTCTGTCACACGGGGCTTTTCTCTCCCACCTTCCTTGAAGCAGGGCTCTAAGGAGCAATTGTGCAACTCTTTATTTCAGTCTCATGTGCCGAATTACCGTAACAGGTAAGCTGCCTCAGGGTGAATGCAAAGGTAGATAAGAAGTCAGCTGTAGCCAGGCTCCTATTAAACATTTCCAGTGCCTTTATGCATGCGTTGTTTCCGTGTCCTTACGGAGAGCTGCGTTGGAGCATTGGCATTGTGCAGTTTTCAAAAAAAATAAAGTTGATAGCTTGTTGGCAAACTATCATTTACTCTGCTGTGGGTAGACAGAGTCTTGTCTTTGTCTCAGATGGGACTTGGAGCTTCTAACGTTTTATCCAGACACCCTTCTTCACGAATGTACAGGTCAACAGTCTTTGATAACTCAGAAATATTTATTTCAGTTGATCTTAACAGAAACTACTTATTTTGAGACTAAACCACACCCATAGCTTGAATGACGACAGTTAAGAGCAAACATCGCGCTGGCCCGGGGAGGAGTCTGGGGCCATGCTCTTCCCAGAAGGAAGAACTTGTGCAGCTCTAGGAAAAGGAAGCCAAAATTCAGAGGCAAAGTTCACCTGCAAAGAGCAGCCGCGGTGGTGTCGTGCCCACTGCAGCGGGCAGACGCTGCAATGGCAACTTTCGAGGAGCAGACGCAGCGCGTGGTGGAAGCCCTGTTCTCCGACCTCCTGGGTGGAGATGAGAGTGACTGCCGGAGCCTGGAGATGGATTCGGGAGGTAGGGCCTCTGGGGGAGGGAGAAATGGTTTGTTTGCAGCAGGTTGGGACTGAACGCGTAAAGGAAGGAGACTGTAGCTTGGGGGTGGTGGGTTTCCTGAAACGCAGGCTTGGGACAACTTCCAAACTATCTCTGTTTTGGGGGAAAAGTGAGAGCAAGGAAAAGTTGTTTGAGTCCTGGGCAGCTGTTGGAATCCACAGCTGCATTCTGCCGTGGCAGGGTCGGGCAGTGGAGCTGTGAAGGTTGAACACCCACGAGCCCCTCCCCGGGCTGCGGGCGCGGGCATGGGCAGTGCCGGCGGGGAAGGTGCCAGCTGCTGTGCCCCGCTCGGGGCGCAGATCCTGAGTAATTTGCTCCGAAACAACGGAGCGGGACAAGTTTTAACTGTCATTATCAAACAGAAAGCTCATAGTGGGTAAAAACAGTTGCTTTAACATGTAAGACAGAATGTGGTCTTCGCTTCACAAAGTTCCCAATATCCTTTGGGCTACTTTGGTTCGCCGGGCAGTGCTGCAAGAAACCCAGAATTTTGCCAGTGTTCGTATTGATTTTCCCATTATTTTCTCAGCAACAAACCAGTTAAAATGTCCCAAGAGACACTGGGATTTGCTGACAGTGGGTCGCGAGCAAAGTCCGTTTCTCAAAAGCTTCATGGAAGTTTGTCGTTTTGCCTGAAGGAACGGTCTCCGTTGGTGCCGTGCTCGTTTCCCTCTCCTGGATCAGACGTGGCGCCGCTGCCCCCGCTGCCCCGCGCGCTGTCGGGCTGCCCCGGGACACGCAGGGCCCCGCCTGGGGGCTCCGAGTGCCGGCGCCGGGACGCGCTGAGCCGGCGTCAGTGGCTGGAGGAGAGAGGGGGCTGGATCAGGAAGTGATGGCTCCAGATACAGTTGCCCAGTGCTTCGTGTCGAAACCTTGCTTTCAGTTCCTTGTGACTTTGTCAAACGTGGAAATGGTTTTACATTCAGTGTTGGGCAGCTCCTTCTGGCTGAACCTTCTTTTGGTAGTATTCAGAAAAAAAAAAAAATACTCTGTCGTTTTTTCCCCTCAGGATGCTTTAAGGGAAAAATGCTTTAATGGAGGCACTCCTCCACCCTTGGAGTAGTTTAGCTGAGAAGTTCTAATGGTTTTACGTGCTTGAAATTTGTGAAGTATGCCTTTTGCTCCTTTGTGAAAACCTTCTCAGATCTGGTTACTATGAGACTTTGAAACGTTGCAATTTGCACTTGCTCAGAAGGGACCTTGAGTATAACGTGTAAGTTCTCCGAGGACTGCGCGCGATGATCCGCAGCCCCAAAGCCTGTGGGAACGCCGGCAGGACTCTGCGGGCTGCTGGGTGCTGCTGTGTCTCTGCAGTCAGAGAGAGATGAGATGTTTTCCGAGTCCTCCGGCCCGCCTTGGGTGCTTCTGGCAGCCCGGCAGGAGGGAGTTGCTGGAACCCAGAGGGGTAAAGGAGAGGCCTCAGGGATGCCCTCGGAGAGACAGGAGTGGGAATGAACTGAGACATGGGCATGAAGCAACTGAGGTGGGAGGACAGAGATGGGGACCGGCCCACGGTATGGAGCCCTGCGGTCCCTGTACGCCGACGAACCCTGAGCGCGGTGTGGTAGCTCTCGGGGACTCGGGGGTTACGTTTCCCACCGAGCCTCGGCAGGGGTCTGCCCTGCAGTGACCCCGCGTGCTCGGGGCGGTGACGGCCCTGGCG